AAAGGATGAAATAGAAATTAATGATGTGTTAAGATGGTCTTTTTGTTACCAGCATCTGAATTGCTGGTAGCTCCACTCAATAGCAAAAGGAGGCGGGTGGGAACCAGGAGAACTATTCCCAATCTTTATTTTATAAAGAGTAAAATTACAATGGCCCTCACTGAGAACTTAACGTGGACCACAAACTTCTAGGAGATTTATATTACATTATCTCATTTAATTCTCCATCAAGGTATGTACTGCCGTATTTGCAGATGAGAAAACTGAGGCTCAGAGAGAGTAAGGAACCTGTGTAGAGTCACATAGCAACCCAGTAAGTGGAAATACTGGGATTAGAAATGAAGTCCTTCTGAGTTTGTAGTAGATTATGCCAAATATTCCAGTGTCCCTCTGATAGCGCACCTGACTGCAGGAGAGTTATTCAGCCTCTCTCTGGTGAATCCGGGAATGGCCATGTGAATTGTTTTGGCCAATGAAAGAGAGCTAAGCTGTGCTTTGCCACAATCTCCCTTCCATTCGCTATGAGAACACCAATGTTCTAAATAGGGGCTGCCCCTTCAGCCTCTATCACAGTGTGAAGACAATATAGATCAAGCCATAGCTATGAACATGAGCAAGAAATAAACCTTTGTTGTTGTATGCCACTGAAATTAGAGATGGAGGGGCTGTTTGTTACTGCAGCATAATCTACCTTATCCAGACTGATACATGCTCTGCTATGAACTGAATGTGTCCCCCCTGAAATTTATATGTGAAAGCCCTAACCCCTCAACATGACAATATTTGGAGATACGACCTTTATGGAAGTAACTGAGGTTAAATGAGGTCATAAAGGTTGAGCCCTGATCCAACAGGATTAGCGTCCTTATAAGAAGAGACACAAAAGCTCACTCTCATTCCACTCCCACATGAAGATACATGAAGAAAGTGACCATCTACAAAGAAGAGTCCTCACCAGAACCCAAATGTACTGGGACCCTGATCTCAGGCGTCGACCCTCCAGAACTGTGAGGAGATAAATTTCTGTTGTCTGAGCCACTATGGCAGTCTATGGTATTTTGTTATGGCAACGCCAGCAGACACTGCACTCTCTTAAGAGATATGTTAAGATTCTGAATGGATGAGACTCAGAGCAGATGGCCTACCTGAGCATGTGCTCCTAAACTCTCTTCCCAGAATCGAGGCAACACCAGAAATACAAATACAAAAGGTCAGAGAGCAGCAAGAATATGAACAAGAAGTCAAGAAGACTCTGGGATGAGGCTGGTGAGACACAAAAAATAATCTGCCTTACCTGGCGATTAAGGAGACAGTATACCACGAAGAGCAGAACTCCTTGCAGGATATTGATGACGGTGAAGGCGTAGGCAATGACCGATTCCAATGTCTTCCCAATTTCTTCAACCATAAAATAACCAAGGCCCCAAGAACAGCCCAGGATAAGTAGCTGAGCAATGGCTTTAAATGTCATGGCTCTGAGAAGGGAAGAAAAAGAATGACAATAACTTTCATTTATCACTGTCACTACATATTGCGCACCATGCCAGGTGCTTTGCACACATTGCCTTCATTAAACCTCACAACCTCATGTGGCGAAGTGACTCAAAGTCATGCAACTTGAAGAAAGTAGAACCCATGTTTCTAATCCCTGCCTCTGGGAATAATGCTTTCTTCTTCTCTTGGAAATGATTTCTCTGCAAAGCCTTTTGCCTTGACCTATCGGAATATTCGTGGAAAGGGCTTTCTAGAAATTTCTATTGAAAATTTTAGATGATGATAGTATCATGACCAGAATATAATATAGTATTGGGTTTCTTCAAAAAAAACCATGTGTTTTGTGAAATGGAGTGGTATTGTTGATGGAGACTGGGAGAGCTGATGTGTG